CACCGCGTCAGCTTGGCAAAGTACCACGGCGCACTTAGTAGGGAGATGGGGGATTCATGTTCTGCCAGCCGTTGCTGCGCCTCGCTTTGGTTTCGATCCGGCACCGTTGGTTGGTGACCTTTTGCCTTCATGGCTGATGAGTCATTTGTTCCTCTCTTTCTTTTTGTGTGGGTGTGCATGGCAGGTAGTCCTGGAGCTGTTGGGCGAAGGGCAATGGCGTGTGATGACGCCCGCGGAGTACGAGGATGGGATTGCTTAACGTGGCACATGCACTGCGCATGCGGTGCTCGCGCTTAGGGAGAGCCAGAGCAGCTTCTGTGATTGCTTTTTGGTTTCTTGAAGTTTCCAGCCAGAGGGTCGCACTTTGAAAGCCGCAGGTCCAAAATAGCGAATTCCCCCGGCCCTCTCCCGACCTGCAGGCCACAGTCGGTTCAAAGTGACCGTGCGGGCCGTGGCTTTGCAGGAAAGAAGGTTGGGGTTCCGGAACCGTGCGGGCAGCCCTGCCCCCCGATGTTGTGAGCGTTTGCGGAGCCCTGCAACTCTTGTTGACAATCCGCCAGCCGCCGCTCAAGCGCCGAGAAGTGGCTTAAGACGATGGCACCCAGCACAAGACGAGATTGGCCACCTCACCTCTTCCGTTGAAGAGGGCGGAGCATCCCTGAAAGGAGCCCCAGCACAGAACCAGACCTGTAGCCATTGCCAGTCCCTCACTGGGCAGTCCTCAGCGAAGCGTAGTCGGACCTCTGCCTACCTGCCGATGGCCAGCACCTTCACAGCCGGGGCCAATTTTGAGGCATGGTTGTCGGGGGGGGTGGAAGAGGAACTTGGGCTGGGAGTTCACGGGCCAGGATCCTTGGGATCTTTACAACACGAGACCGAGGTCTCTCGGCTGTTGAAGTGAGGGCCTGGTGGTGAGGTGAAAGGTTTCACACGTCGGGTTGCTACAGTCCTTTTCCAGACTTTGCGATTCTCCCCGCCTAGGTTGCATTTTGCTTCGTTTGTGCCGCTCGGTCCAATCTCAAGTGGTCCGGCAAGTCAAGAGCATGTCCACAGCCCACAAGATTCGAAACGAAGCGCTGAGGCTCGGAATAAGATGCCGCGGGTGTCCGTCACAGCGAGACTTAGACGGACCCCACCGCCTGCCGAATCGGGAATGCCCTCCCTGCAGCCACAACCCAAAGCAGTTTCTAAGAGCAACCCTCATACTACGCCTTCTTGGTACGCCTTCTAGTAGCCCTCTTCATAGCCTTTGTAGTAGCATGCTTTAGCTACACGGCTGTGGCGCCATGCGGAGACGGCAGCTCTCGAGGATCTTCTGGCTGGTGAGACTTGGGTACATAGGGAAGCGCGCGATTCAAGCACTTCAGACGAGCCTTTGAGCTTTCTGCCGGACCTGTAGTGCTCGATTGTGGACTTGTCCGGGGGATGTATCGCACGGGTCTGAGAGAACTTGGAGCTTCGAGTTTCAGACTCTATTCGGCTCTCTCGTGACAGCCACGCGGCGTCTTTAGACTGCAGCCGTCGACTGCCGACCTTTCTCAGGTCAAGCCTGCTAAAAAAAACACCAGAGCCCGGTTCGACTTGCGCCCAAGCTCCGGCAGAAGAGCGCATGCCGGGAGGCTGCGATATGGGCCGCCCCACTCGCTTGGGATGGTCCATGGCCGTGGTGGATGGCGAACGTCGAGGCCTGCTCTCCCCAATGCCATCCCTCCCAGCTGTAGCTGTCTGGAAAAGCAGCCATCTGTGATTTGCATCGGGTCTCAGCCGCCCTGGGGACATGAAGCCTCATCAGAGGGTTTATTTGGAACCGAAGCGACGCGAATCCCGGCACGCGCACTTTTCCGCAGTGCAGGAGCCCGAGCAAGTGTCCAAAACGACTTCGATCCTCGTCGGGGCCACTTCGGCTTTACCTGTGCCAGGAAAACGAGTTTAAAGATGGATTGCTTTGAATTGGAGTATTGATGGGTGCTTGACGAATCAAGCTAGAGCAGCTAGAGTATAGGAAGAAGGTGTCAATTCAAACATTCTGGATGCAAGGTTTCGGTATGCACTCCAGCAAATTTTATGTTGCAGAACCTGAAGTTGTGAACAATGATATATATCCCCCCAAGGGGTCCATATCCGGATATCCGGATGCACAGCCCCGACCAACTTCGACAGATTCGGAACATTACCAGTGGCTCGGTGGATGTACGTCCTGACACACAGCCTACTTACCGCATACTCCGGCATGCAATGCGAAGCATATCACCATGTTGCCGTCTTGGCTCCAATGGGCTCCATGTTTTTTGATTTATGTCTTCATTTAAATGATGATTCAGACTTTGCAATCAGAAGCCGCCCTGCGCTCCTGGATGTCTTTGGCGTTTCTTTCCGCTTTGATACTCGTACGTGTCGATTCGGAGAGAAGATCTGAGCACAATCGAAGCAAGGGGCCCAAAAGCGCGTGCTCCAAAAGGGCTCCCGTTCTCCGAGCTCTTTCGCCTCTGAAGCTGAGGTTCTGGTGGTCATGCTGTGGGAAGTGCTATGCACATCCTTGACCAAGGACGCTTGTGTATTTAACTGAACGCAGATCCTTGCAGTGCCGGACCCTGCTCTGGCGTCGCAGCCGTCTTGTTGGTGAGGAGAAGCCCACCATCGTGACCGAGTTGGTTGCACTGCTCTGCCGCGGCCGCAAGGCAGTGGAGCTTGTTTCAAAAATCGACGAAAAAACCTAAACTCAAGCGACTGCCTGGAGTCCTGGAGGAGGAGAAGCTGCGGAACCAACGGCAGGGCCTGGCTCATGTGCTGTGCCAGAAGATGGACGAGTTCTCTCAAGAGAACGCCAAGGCCGGAGGTCAAAGGGACGAGCAGCCGGAGTGCGAGAGGGGAGCTTGCAATGGTATATGCATGCTTGTAGAGCTCTAAGCAGTTTTCTTCGCCCTCATCTCTGCCATATATATGCCTCAGCAAACACTTAGTCGAGGCCCACTTCTGGTCGGCCCGCACCTGGTCTCGAGAGTTCGAGCCAAGCGAAGAGCTGAGTACCTGGGAGCTCGAGGACATAATGAGCTTCGATGCCTCTAACAGAACTTGGGGGGGGGTGGGCTGTATGTGCGTGCCTGGGTAGAGATCGTTTTTGAGTCCAGGACTCTTCTTGCGGTCCGAGTCGCTTTCTGCCGCTTCCCGGCATGTCGGTCATCTTCTTCGCCGAGCACACGATCACTAAACGGCCACGCTCCAGCGATCCAGTGCCGGGTTGGGATAATGCAGATGATGGTCGCCCACTGACCTCAACAGAGCGTGTCCGCGTGGCACGAACCTTTTCTTGAGGCAGAGCGAAGGCAGCATCGACATCACGCTGCTGCGTGTTGGGGACCTCAGCAATGAGGCGGCAGAATACCGGTCTTTCCCAGATGCTTCTGTTCTCCAAGCCAGCTTTGGATGCTAGTAGGCCTTTGATGCCAGGTGGCGGTGGAGCTCGCCACAATCGTTGGGACCGCGAAGGCCGGGGAAGAAACCGCAAACTTGAAGCATCCTAGAGCAGCTCTTTTCTGTGCCCAATAAGGCGCAGTAGACCCCAGGCGTCCCGACCCTAAAGCCCAAACCCTTGGTGGGCCTGGGTAGCATAGTTCCTCCATGCGAGAGGGAACTTCTAAAGACCCCAAATTTGTCCGAGGCCGAGCACTGCTTCAAGGCCTCCAAGGGCCTGGCGGTCTTCCCTCCCGGCCTTAGCTCCGCGACCTTCTCCGTGGAGCTCAGGCCCCACGAAGGCGGGGGGAGGGGCCCCGCAGACGAACTTCTCATGTCAATTTCCGGTTTTCTCTTCTTTCGCTCTTCTTTCGCTCTTCTCTGTCTCTCTTCTTCCCTTGTGCTGTTCTCGCTTTTCTAGGTCTCTCTGTCTTTGCTTGATAGGAGTGTAGCCAGGATTCTCTCATTGTGTCACGGGGCAAAGTGTTCTGGTGCTCGCAGTCCTATATATATATATATTTATTTTTTTCCATGCCAGACAGAGGCTTCATCTCGCAGCGCTTCTTCGTTGTCCACGTGGAGCGCATCCTCGGCCAGGTCCCCGAAAGAGAGCTCTGGAGCTGTCTTTATTCTGTCACGGCACAGTAGTCACCAGCTGCAGAATCTAAGCATCGAGATGCTGATGCGGTAACACTGCCGGCCTCTTCCTTGAGCCTTGTTTCCAGTCGGCTTGGAAGTTTTGGAGTTCCGCTTGCAGGGGGGGTTGGGAAGCAGGCCACTATGGGCAGCTGCTTCTTCACCCGCGTGCGGCTGCTGCCGTCAGGGGTCCGGGCTCCAAGAAAGCTGTGTGGCTTCTGTGATCCATTCAAGCGGAGCTGGTTGGCTTCACGGAATCCTATCCATGCAGAGGACAGAGACCTGCCACCGTTTGACTGACTGGGGCGACAGGTCTGGCCGGAAGGCCTAAAAGCGGCTGACGTGGCTCCTTGGACGCACGTGATGATGGCTTCTCCACGAGTGGCACGAGCTTCACATTGCTTAAGTTTGTGCTCAACTGTCGCAACCTCCAAAATTACAAATCGGAAGGAACCCATGCATGCCTTCAGCCAAACAGTACTCTTGGCACTTGTTTACCCAAAAGGGGCTCTTCGAAGACGGCATGCACGAAACCATGCGGAGCTATGCTCGGAACTCACCTTCCTAAGCCCAAAAGCCTATACTCCCTACTCTCCATCAGCCCAAGAAGCTCAAGAAAGCCATGAAGCTCAACATCCCAAACCCCCCAACACCTCCGAAACCCGACTCACCAGGAATGCCCAAATCCCAGTCGTCTGGTGAGGCTGAAGCAAGACTGCACTTTGTTTGGGGTGAAGTTGGACTTCCTACCTGCAAGCCCAAGCTAGGATGCTCTGCTGAAAGCTTCGCAAATCCTTGAGAAATCATTGCTTTCGGAATATCGGTAACGTCTGAGACCAAAGCCCTGATCTCCAAGCCTTGCGACGCGGACACCATTGAGGGGCCACTTGCATCCTGATTCTGCAGACCTCCAAACCGCCGGAAATACCACACAAACCTTGCAGGACAAGCAGTGAACAACCCTTGCTCTCATAATTCAGCTTTTCAATCTTTTTCCAATGGGGAACGCGTAGCCCGATGAGGCCAAATAGTAACTAGTACCCAAGAATTAGCGAATCTTTCGAGGAAGATGGTCTGGGCCTTTGCCGCGATGATGCTACGGCGCCGGGGGATCCGCCTCTGGAAGGCTACAGAACCTGCCCTCAAAAAGGGAGAGTGAGACCTGTTTCTTGTGGAGGCCTCGATGCACCATGAGCCGAGATGGAATGCAAGGTGTGTGTGTGTGTGTGCGTGCGTGCGTGGGTGTGTGTGTGTGTGTAGAGTGTAGAGTGCAGATGGGCTCGGGGTGGCAATGGCTAACTACGTAGGTTTTCGCGCATAAACCGGTAGCGAGTCCTGTGATGCAGTTGGCGACGCAGTTTCCCCGACATGGCAGAAGGTGATGGCCTCCATCGTATGGCTGGATTTCCACCGTGTGGTCATGAGCCATGACCTGGATGAGGTGAGCTTGGCTTTTCCCCGAATCTCTGTAGTCTTCTGGAGTCGGGTGGGATAGGATTTGGGATGGAGAATCATGTTGGCTTTTGTGGCTGCAGACGAGCTGCTTAATTCCGAGTGGATAAAACAATACGGGGCCGGGTAGGAGCACTGACTGCGAGCATGGAGCCAAGGAACACGCTGCTGCTCAACTACGCGATCTACGACCCTCGCTTGTTGCAAGCCGTTGTTCTTTAGGAACAGTTTGGCACAGCTTGCCTAGGGTCTGCAAAGCAAGAGAGTGTCAAGGGTCAAAGCTCTCCCTAAACCGTCAGGCCGGAGTCTCCAAACAGCACTTCCCGAAACACTTGGCTCTTGGCTCTGTGGCCACAGAGCCGGCAGCAATCGCAAGAATAATAGCCAGAGAAGAGAGCCGGAATCGACTCATGATAGCCCCCAGATTTCAATCAAGACACAAGGCGGCTTTTCCGGGTTTCTTTTGCTGTCGTTTTCGGCCTTGCCGGTTGGCTGTTTTCGGTCATAATATGAGAGATTGCGACATGGCAATGCCATCCATGCAGGATGCAAGCGAATCTGAGCATCTTGAAACTGGCAGAAGTGGAGAGAATCGAACTAGTTTGGAGCAAGGAACAAGAACCCAAAAACTTATTCCGCGTTGCGATAAGGACTTTTGCTTGACGAAGGCCAGCTTCGAGGCCGCGTGCCACCGCCCCTCAGTTTGAGCTGAGGACTTGAGGTTTTTGTAGCCTAAACACGCAGATCTCACGGACATCAAGGTTCGAAGGCGAGCCCGAAGAGTCCAAGCCCCGAATAAGCACAGCACCTGAAAGTCGAAAGGTCGGAAAGCACCGCTTCCATCTCTCCACTTCTTCGTAGAACTGTAAAGACGCCGACTCTAGCCTGAGCAAATGTCCCACTTAGTCTATGAAGGGCGCAATGGAGATCCAGGTCTGCCTTTCATCGTCCTGGCGAAGCTGGTGCTGGTCTGCGTGGACAGGCTGCTTGGGCTTGAGTGCTCTTTCAAGATTGAAGCACTGGGCTAAGACCGAATCGATGCGATTCGCAGGCCAATCGCATCATTTCTCGCCTTGCGCTCCGGCTCGGGAAGCCCAGGCTGGCTAGCCACGTCAAGGCGGCCATGCTGGGCAGCCTCTCCACCACCCGCCTACTTCAGGAGGTGCTCCTGCACAGGTACCTGCAGCGGCTCGGATGGGTGACGCGGGCTCTTGAGTTTCGAGGGACTGCAGGAGCACAGGGCGACCGGGCGGGAGCTAGACTGCTGCTGGGAGGTTGCAGGAAATTCGTGTCCATGAAAGCATTGGGGAAGACCAGCATTAAGGCTTCCCAGCGACGTGCTGCACCTTGGCACCTTCCTGCACATGCTCTTCGACACCGTGCCCGAAAGCGTGACCTACGGCTACAAGACCGGGATCTTGAGACTCTGCGGTAGGGCGTGCTCGTGGGCTGCAGAAGGGAGGCCTTCAGTGCCTTTTTCTGCTTCAGGACCATCTTCCAGCTGGCGCACAGTTCGGTGTCCATGGTCTTTTCTGTCCTCATCGCACTGGTGGTGCAGGCTGGGCCCATCCTTTCGGGGCGGAGAGGTTGATGGCCTCGAAGCAACGGGTGGCGTTTCTTTAGTTTTGCTCAGGTTTTGAAAGGGGAGGTGCCGCCCCGCAGCGCCTGGCAGCCGCTTCTCTGGATCCTGGTGCCGATGTGCTGGTGCCTTTGCGGCAGGTTGGGAGGCGGTTCTCGGAATCCCTGCGCGGTTCAGGGCTCGGGGGGCGGTCTTCGAGGGTTGTTTGAACCGTTCTGCCTCATTCTTGTGAGCTGTGCATGACGAAAACCTTTGAGCTCTCCCAAACATCCACGATGGATTTCTGCGAAGGACAGTGATCATCAGTGTCTGTCAGCGGCGGAGTTCTTTCAATCGCCGCTCGGCTTCTTCGGCTTCCGTTGCCCCAGACAAAAGGATCTGAATTATGGATCATCCTAGGTGGCACCAGGTGGGATTCGGGAGACCCTTCAAAGGGGACCACTTCGAGAGGGCTGTCAGTAATATTTAAAGCCCCCGTTTGGAGCTCCGAAGCCCGGAGCAAGTAAGCCAGCTACCCTGGCGTTAGCCAGCAAGCTTGAATTTGCAGTGAAGCTTTTCTACTCGACATTTTCGATGGAGCCCGTTGTGCTCGTTCCTCATGGCCAGCACATGCACCACCCATAACTTCATAACCAAGTGCCACCTGAACTTATCTACGCTTTAGACTTGTACCGCGTGCTCTCCCTGGACTCTCCCTCTCTCTGGAAGTGAGCTTGTCGGACTGCCGAGGATGGGCCGTGCAGGCACGCGACTCTGACATCGCCGCTTCGCTCTCCACAGCTGGGATGTTTGGACTGGCTATGAATTCGGACTCGAAGTGTTTCGTTCGGTGACTTGGTCTTTGTGTGCAAGTCAAGGCAAGTTGCAAACTTGTTCCTCGCGCACATCCGCCGGAAGCCGAGGAGAAGACCTCGGCCATGGTGGAGCTGTTGAACTGCCGGCAGTGGCTACGAGCCTACGACGGCTCGCCTCTTCGGCAGAGGATACCCGGGCCCGTAGATCAGAATCCTACCGTTTTCGGGTATGTGGTGGCCTCGGAGGAAGGATGTGAGGTGGGGAAAGGCAGCATGAAGCAGGGGTTGCAGGCAGAAGAAAAAGCCAGTCGAAACCAAGCTCTCCACGTCACACAAGAACCATCCCTAATTCCCCGCTTTGCAGAAGAAGCCGGAGGCTGGTTTTTGCGGCGGTTAGCGTAGCCCACATCAACTCAGGTACCCTGTGCAGCATGTGCGGAGCACGTTTGATGATGCCTGGTCCAGCTTCCTGGAACCTGGACCAGTTGATTGGGAAGTCTAGGCCTATAGGCCTCCGAAAGCCAAGTGGCGTGGGGATACCACCCAACTTGCGGCAAAAAGGCATCCTGTAGCTGGATCCCTATTGGGCCAAGGAAAAGCGGACCTTCTTCGGAATCTACAAGAACGACACACAGTGGCTGGCTCGCTACGTCGGGGAGCTCACGAAGGTTTCTTGGGGGGGGGGTTGGGCGGGGGGGCCCTCGTGGTTTCCTCCACTGATGTCTCGCTTGAGCGGGGTCTTGACAAAGGCCACTGCCGCGAATCCGATTATTTCAGTCCAACTAACCAACCAACTAACCTACAAACCAACCAACTTGCCAAGCAGGCAGGCAGGCTTGCAAGTAGGCATGTGGGTTCCCATGATGTAGGTACGTACACTACGAACAAACATCTCAAGCCCCCTTGCCTGACTGGGTTTCAAGGTGCTGGGGATTCTGTTCGGTGGCTATGCGGTCGTTCAACACACGCAGAGTGGGGAGGGCAACATGACCATCGGCCGCTTCACAGTGTTCCTTGGCCCACAGATCCCCTGCCTTGTAGGCAGAATGTTTCACAAGAGACCGGAGGTTTGTCAGTCTCTACAGCATCATCGTCGACGTGCTCTACAGCTTCATCGACGCGTGGGATGGCCTGGTCTATGCAGGGATACTCGTTGAGGAGCTTGCGCAGTTCATAAACAGGCCCAGCAGGTGGCTCCATCAGCTCTCTGACGAGCACGTCGAACCGGAGAGCCATCCAGTGCTGACGGGCTCCTTCGCCATAAAACTGGCTTCTGTGAGCTTCCACCTGGATGCGATGCCTAGCAAGCTATCATCAACGGATGCAGATATTCCACTGGGCCGCACATATGGTATCCGGACGCTCAATGATGCGAGCTCCTTGCGTCGGCAGCTAGGCCGGCAAGTGCGGCAGCTGTTGTATCAGTCTTTAAGAATCACCCCGCTGCATCAGAGAGGCTTTGCTCGAAGCCTGCCGACAGGTGAGATCCTGGGTGGATTGCGGGAACCGCCTGGCAAGGTAGACTTGGTCGGCTGCGCCAGGCGTTGAAATGAAAGCTTCGCGGTGCTTTCTCTTCTCGCCCCCTCGCAGAGAAAGAGAGAGAAAGAGAGAGAGAGAGAGAGAGACGCCACACCGGGCAGGTTCCTACTTCTGAAACCCCCAGTCACCTTGGCGACCGGATCCGTGCTGGAGAACCTGCTCCTTGGCCGTTTATCGCCCGGGAAGAGAGGGTTTAGGGTACATCATTTTGGCCTCCTACCCGGATCGGCGAGGCGCTGCCTCTTGACTTCAAGCTCATGTTTTTCCAAGGCTCTCCAACGCCGCGGCGTGGGTGCGGGCGAGTGACGTCATCGCAGCTCGGCCCAAAGGGCTCGCAGGCTTTCTTGCGACCCACGCGGCTGTATGCCTTGGTTTTGACTGCGTCTTGAGTTTCCAGTTGTCCTCTGTTTTGAGACTTTGTGCCCAAAGGAGTCATATGCTGAGGCGCTCTTGGCCATGTTGGGCATCCCGTTGCCACCGCCGCCGGGTGCCCAGCCGCGGCACGCGCTGGACCCGGCCGTCCTTCTCCAGGCCACCCATGGAGGTCGTTTTAAGTTGAGTAGCTGCTCCTAGGGGGGTTTGAGACGTGAACATGCAGATGGTGCCCTCAACGGTGAATGCAGGCGGTGAAGCAAGCTGCTGAGCTCCATGGGGCCACGCCGTCGCAGCTCAAGAGCGACAAGCTCTACGCCCACTGCACCTGGCTCCCTTGTCTGCAACTGTCTAGTTTGCGAACTGAAGCTTGAAGTACATCGCTGCTGCGGAAGCCTGTGAAGAGCTGGTCATATTCATGAGCTTCGAGCGGAGTTCTTGCATCTGTTCTTCCAAGCCAGTCATGATCAAACTGTGTTCAGCCACCACTTCTTGATTTCTAACCAGCACATGTTCAGCTTCTTGCTAGCATGCTCATGTGGTCATACAGCTGTTGCTCAGTCCAAAGACTTTTCGAAGGGCTCGGCGGCATGAGGGTCGGCTCTCTGGTTTCGCCTCCAGGACTGAACTCAAGCTTAGGCACCTCGTCAAGTTGCAAGCCCTTCAAGAGTGAAATCTTCGTTCGGCCTGCCAATCTAGAATCACGACCATCAACGAGCAAGTGCAGAGCAGCTTTCAAGCGGTAGGACACGTTGTCCTTCACATTGAGCCTCCCTGCCAAGCGTACCGAGAATCCCAAGCAAGAAATGAGTTTGCTGGTCTCGGCATTCATGTTCCACTGCGCACAAGGGAATTAGAATGGCATGCACATACCCGTTTGGGCCTCGTAGCAAAATGGCTTGAGCCAAAATGGCTTGCGCCAAAATGGCCGTACTCAGCAATGGTGGACGTCGATGATGGCAAAGAGAGCAGCAATCCATGCCGATCACCACTGTTTTTGCCGTCACAGTCTGCCAGAACAGATGTCAACACAAGAACAGAACGCCCTCATGAAGCACCATTTGGTTCGGCGTATGGCATTAAAGCAGAAGAGACGTGAAGAACGTTCCCGTCGTCTTGACGGTTCAACTGCGTGATAGCACGTTTTTGCGGACCTATCAGTCCAATCTCGAGTAGTCCTAGATCAGCCGTTGCAAACATTGCGGTAGCTGAAGGATCAGGGCAAAGTGCGCTGCAGCCCCTGCCCAAACAAAAAGTACATAAGAGCTCTGGAAGTTGCAAGTCTTTCAGGCAACCCAGCTCGAACTTGCATCAGGTTCCGAGATCGCTGTGTCGAGTCTGACATCGACGTGCTGTCGCAGATCACGAGAGCAGAGGAGCCGATGACTTTGTCTGCTTCCAGCGCTTCAGACTCTAGAATTCTAGAAGTACCCAGGAGTTGCTGAGCAGTTTATTCTGGTGGGCGTGGGGCATTCTCTTCGAAGAGCAGTCTCATCCTCGTTGACATCCGTTCGAGTCCGAAGGAAGGTAGAGTCTAGGCCAACGTTTTAACAGATAGCCCCCCCCTGAAGCGGTGCAGCAGCAAAAAGGCGCAAACTGCTATAAGTCTCTCGGGATACACTCGCACCCGCAGCTGAGCTCCAGCGACAGCGAGGAGCTTCTGCAGCCCTCGGAAAAATTTCTGTTCGACATCGCACGTGGTCTTCTCGCTGACCCGGAAGTGTTGGTGGTTCAGGACACGGTTCTCCTTGCGAGTGTAGCGTGCGAGATTGAAGCGAAAATAAGACATAGGTGCAGGACGGGGAAGTTTGACCCAAACAATGACCCAGCACCCAGCACCCAATGCGTTTAGAATGCGCACCGCACTGACGGCACTGTGCGAGAGCGCGATCTTCGGGAGGAAAGCAGGGGACGGTGGGAAGCGGAGCCCCAGAAGTGAGCACGATTGTGAACTTTGGCAAATTCCAGAACGAGCTGCATAGCCTGCCGTGGCGGGAGCAAGATTTCTTAGCGGGAGCGCGATTCGCCAAGTTCGGATGGGCCAAAGCAGTGGATTTGGCGCTGAGTTCGACGTCGAGCGGAAGTTGAAGCCGCCGCAAACCCCCAAAAGCTGAAACCCTAGTGCCCCTAAACCCGAACCTCCGGCTTAGGACATCTTGGGAGTGCTGCCGCTGCCTCTGGCGAGAAACGCGCTGCAGGTTTTGTGGCTCTGGCAGCGCCTGGGAGGCCTCAAAGGCGCCCCTCGGCCCGGAAGCCAAAGGAAGTGAGCCACGGAGTGCCGTTGGAGGTTTGTTGCCTTTCATTTCAGGTTTTGACTGACAGCCCCCACAGCCACCTAGCCCAAGCCTTCCCAACGCACTGCTTCCAGAATGAGCAAGCGTGAAAGACCGAAACAAACCCACCAGGAATGCTCCAGAGATCAGACACTTTGGGTGGATGGAAAAGAGGTGATAAAACCAACTTTCAGACCGAGCCTCGATGTTGAGGTGATCTGAGGGACTGATGATGGAAGAAACAGCTGAGGTCATCCTGGCCTTGGAGGGCGGCATGGCGGCGGTGCCACCGCTCTTTCCTCCATGGCTCACACCTTGCGGCAGCCTCCCGCGCCCCTGGAGTTGAAGCTTGCTAAGTCTGCTAAGCGTGAGGGTGTTTCTTTCTCTTTTTGTCAGGGCCCCGTTTGCATTGCTGCAGTGAAGGGCTTCAGTTGCAAGGCTTCTGCTCACAGGTCCTTCCCGCATGCTAACATACGCTGTCTCCTCAACTTGTATCGAAGAAGTTTACAGCCCTGCCAGAGCCAACACGCCGCCCCCATAACTTGATTTACCGTCCTGCATCTATTCCAGGCACCGTCTTCATTTCAGAGTCCACGATCGTTTGTGCAGGGCTCCATTTGCTCCTTGGTGTTAACCTAGGGTTCACATTGTGGTGGTTTGAATATATGCTGCTTCTTCGGGACTCCGATTCCCTGAAGCAACTTGATTTGCTGATTGCTGACCGGGCCGTCCTTTCCAAGACTAAGGAGCAGGACCATCGATTCCTGGTTGCTTTTCCAGCCATCCGGATTGCTGGAAATCGTGGAGGGCGGATCCATCGACGATTGATAAAATCTGCACAAGATGCAGTCGTTGATAGCAACTGCTGGCGAAGTCTGCCAGACGGCTGCTTCCTCTTGCCCTGCACTCCTCTCGGTACAGAGAGAATGCAGGTGGCTCCTCTTTTATCCATGGTTTGCCTTGAGCCCACGATCTCACGCGCATCCAGTGCCATCTTTTGCTGTCCGGGGTTCTGCAGGCTTTATCGTCCAACCCTCTTCGACGTCTTTCCACAAGTTTTCTTGACATGGGCCTAGCTCCACAACCCCGCGCCAAAGAAGCGCAGCATCAGAATGACAGCGGAGATATCCGGACGAGCTGCAGCCCAAAATTTCGCTCGGTGGTTCCTTAGCGAGGATTGTGACAGAATGTCAACCGCCGGCCAACGCATGGCGTTCAACAGCCAAGTCTTCGAGCGATTGACCCCATGATGGCAATATGTGGTCCTTGGCCTTGCCAAGCCCCAGGCCGATTGCGAGATGCAGCCGACGTCCCCTACCCTGTCCGTGCCGCACAACAGATCCCCTTCGTCGCGAGCTGGCAACTGGCTTTGGGGGCCCTTCGGGTTCTGTAGAAGAGGATCAAGTTTCGGTTGCTGTCCCAGGGAGTGGGATGGAGTGGGGTCGAGGGCACTGACTGGGATTGGACAGTTGAAGGCTCCCACGAAGTGAGCACATGCCCTGACAGTGTGCCGAGGCCATCGACGGGGGACCTGCCTGACCTGACACAGCGTAGAGCCGGCTTGGTTTGATCTTTTTTCGCTTGTGGCAGTTCGCAGTGGCACGGCTTGAGACGAACATGGCTTCGAGGACATGAGCATTCTGTTGTAGTTGGAGCAGTGGCACAGTCAGGACATCACTGAAAGCAAGATGGGTGAGCAACGCAATTGCCCAGGGTGTGCGCATACAAAACGAGCAGAGGGACATGGATATGATCGTGGCAGGGATCATGTCCATGGGACTGTACGAAGAGTATCAGCTGCTCGTCTCAGAGTTTCCTTGAAGGAGCACGGAGAAGCCCTTGGCAGCTAAGCCCCAAGGAAGTTCCGCGCCGGCAACGCGCAGTGGCGCCGGGGTCTGGCCGGCGGCGCGCGGGGAGAACTCACGGCCGAGGCCCCCGAGGATCTTGCCTCAAGGATCATGCTCTGTGGGCTTAGTCCTGTTTACGGAGCTCTGCATCCCAAAGAAGCGTACAGAGCTGCTCCGATGTGGACCTGACCGCAGGCCCTCTCCACGGAAGAGCGCCGGACCAGGACACCCTGAGTCCTGGGTGAATCGTGCTGGATGTTTGCATTCTGGGGAAGGCTCCGGCTTCATCCGGCTTCCACAGATCTCTTTCCATTTTTGACTTGTTTCTTTTGCCATCTTCGATTCCATCCCGGGCAGTGGCGACGGTTTCTGGTTTTGCCGCTTGAGGCTATGGCTTCGAAAGGCATATCGAATTTTCCAGAGGGAGTGATCGCCGCAGGACGTTCATTCAATCCTTTTTCCCTTCCTTCGAAGCCTGGCACTGGCGCCGGACAGCTTCGTACTGGATCTTTGGCCAAGATTCAGCTCGATTGGGAAAAGAGCCCAACCAAACTCCAAAAGCATCGTGCTGGAAACGAAGGCGTATATAGATAGTTATCCAAGAACTAGCCTGCAAGACGAGTCTCTTGCATGTCATCGGAATAAGAGCACCATGTCCGAAACAGGTTTCCCACAGTGTTCGAAATTTGCTCAGGATCGCCATTTTCTTCACGGAAGGTTCGCTGCTTTTCGTGCTGGGAAGCTGCTTCGGCTATGCGGGGGACAGCGGCCCGGCCCACGAAAGTCTGCACCCGAAAGTCTGCGCGAAGGTTTGCTTAATGCAATGATGCATGCGCTAACGAGACCACTGATCTTTACATACATGCGTCTGTTCGTGCCGAAGCTTGCTTGCAAATTGCATGTGCCTACATATCCGTGTATGTAGACATGCGTACGTGTATGCGATGTCGAGCGGATCCGTGCACCCCTATATGATATTTCTACGCATGTATGTATGTATGTATGTATGTACGCACGTAGGTAGATAGGTAGGTAGGTATGTAATGTAGGCAGGTAGGTAAGAAGGGTTTGTTGGCTGGCAGGTTGGAGGTAGGGAGGTACGAACGAACGTACGTATGGACGTATGTATGGAAGCATGTAAGCCGGGATGTATGTTCCGTATGCATGTACGCATGCTTGTGAGCCTTATCGGCAGGGACCTCCAGATTTAGGTTCGGCCGACGATCTTGAAAAATCCTGCTCAACGTCATGAGGGCCTCGAAGTATCAGCTGGGTTTTGCACCCCTTGGGTTCTCGATGAAATCCAAGCCCGGTGCCAAAAATGGTAACGCACCGGAGCTGAACCCACCTTGCTGAGGTGGCTGGCGGGCCAGCAGCAGTGCACACGTCAATGCGCACCTTGTGAAGGCGCCTGTTGTTGCTGCCGCCACTGCTGTCTTACCACCGCCACCGCCACCGCCACCTCGGCTAACATCCGCCATCTAGTTACCATGATGTTCTAGACTGCCACCACACCACAACGACGATGACAGCGTTGTAACTACCACCACGACTGTGGAATACTACTCCTACTCCAACAACAACAACAACCACCACCA